GACAGGTCGATCGCCTGAAATCAAAGGCCAGGGCTCCCCATTAGGCACAAATGTGCGTATATTACGCATTAAACCTGCAGATTACCCCCTTAAAGTTTTGGTGGTGCATCACGAGCTTTACTCTTTATAATTTCATTTCAGAGGTTTGCATACGCTTTAAAACGTAGGTGGTGTGCGTCTGGCAAGCATCCTTCTCTATCCCGAAGCCGAGTCAATGACTTGACAACACACCCACACACATGCATGAGAGTCACCTTCTGTGTCAAAAAAAGTCGACTAGTCGACTTACTTATAATAATAAATCAGCTATGCTTTGTCCGAGTTCTGGTTAGTCAGGCCCATCATCAAGACCCTTCAGTAAAACTGTTCCAATTGTGTGTTTGCCTCACGTGATAGGACTTTGGCGTGAGAGTTCCACGTGTGTTGGGGATCGTCCGTTGACGGGGTCAATTCAAGTTCATGCGCACCAGTTGAACCGTCTTTTGGAACTTATCCGGGAGGAGGGGCGGCGTGTAAAATACTTGGACTAGGAGAGCTTGATGTGATACTTCAGGATTAAAAAAGAAATAATGATAAAACACTCACAGGCACGCGCAGACACACACACACACACACGCATGAGCGCAAAAGGAATATACATGGATATAATAACGGACACCCCTGGAAATTCTATAAGTCAGCTTGGCAGTGACCTAAGTGATTTGTCGTTGATCTCGATTTTTTTCCACCAAGCCCCAATTTTTTTCCCCACTGAGATCCTGACTTTTAGATTTCCAAGAGTGGCAGGTCTATTTTGCTTCGTGTATTACAGTAGGAATTGACCGCTTTTGGTTTGTCAACTTTATTTTATTTTTGATACGCCCAACTGCTCAACCACCACCACTCCCCCTTCCCAAGGGACACAACTCTAATTCTAGAATATTTCTCATTTATTTCCGAAGTTAATTAAAAATCATTAGCATTCAGTCATGATCCCTCTGTGTGTGTCTGTGTGAATGTGCATGGGAGTTAAATGTTTACAAGCAAAAAATCTTACTATAAAATTATGAGATATTAACTTTCACCGTTTACGTTTCTCAAACAAGGGTTTAAATACCCCTTAAGATAGTAAACCAAAGGGTGTAAAGGAACCTCTTAAGTTGGCCTGAAAAGGGGAGCGCTGAAATTGAAAGACATGATCAATTTGTGCCACGATAGCCACTTGGCACCCTCAATCTGACCCGACCCAATCGTGGAGATAGCCACTTGGCACCCTCAATCTGACCCGACCCAATTGTGCAGTCGCCATGTATTATAACAACACACAGTGGGTCGAGATTTGATTAAAATTAAAAGTTGTTATAATACTAGATCTAGATTTCTCTAGATCTAGTCTACGCCAGGCCTGCCTCCTCCTACTAGATCTATATACAGTCCATGCCGGCTTTAAGCACGGTCATCGGGAGAAAGCTTATTTAAAAGTGTGCTTAAAGCTGAAGCGTGATTGAGTGCGAAGTAGACATAATCCAGAGATTTTCATGTAGAAAATTTCCCGTGCTATTTCCCTTTGTTTGTAAGTAGGCCTATAGCGGCCCCGCAAAAGTGTGCACTGTTATTTAGACACCCGCCATGGTAGTTTTTGTTCGCTTGTTTGTTTTTGTGTTGTGGTCGAATGGGAAATGAAAACTTAACTTAGACGGCCAGTCACGATACAGCACACTAGGCCTACACACTGCATGTGCGTACCACTGCCCGCTGTGCCACTCATATTACCGCCTTCAATTTCAATCCACCTCGCGCGTGATACATAATCAGGATGAACGGATAGCGAGGATCATAGGTGAAATCGCAGCCAGCCTCCCTTTCTCGTCTCCCCGACTCTCTTTGTATTTTTTTTGGTCGTGTGTAGCTTTGCCCTAGGCCTAGGCTAGATCCTATGTCCGCGCGCGCGGCTGTGTGCATTCTGCCTTCCTCTCCGCCCGTGTGAGTGTGTGACGTGTGTGTCAATCACTTGCGTTCTTTGTGTTTCTCTTGACACACTCTACTCCTGCTGTGTAGACTGTGTTCGAACTTCGATGGGTCATCATGAAAATATTGACTGTCTTGTAAATGAAGCGTGCTTGAAGCCGAAGTTACCGTGCTTAAAGGCGTGTAATTTATATAGCAAAAATTCGGTAAGAGCCGTTTAGCGTGCTTGAGTCCGAAACGTGCTTCAAGCCGGCACGGACTGTACTCTATAGGCCTAGGCATAGTTAGTCTAGACTAGATCTAGACCTAGTAGTTACCTAGATCTAGATTCTAGATCTATAGAAGAGTAGACTAGACAAGAGAGTAAATTCAAGTGAAGATCTAAATCTAGATCTCTGATCTACATCCAGATCTACATCTAGAGAACTCGTCTTACGTACAGTTGAACCTGCCTTAACGGAAACCTGTCAAACCCTCTTAGCGGTAAGCCATTTTTATCATTACTTCCCTTCAGTGCTTGGTTTATTTTAGAAAAATGCAAATTTTCAACATGGTTATAAAAAACGAAGTGGCTACCCGTACTTAGATCTAGGTTTGGTCCTATCGACTCGAACCTGTTGAGTTCACAGGTCTCATTAGATCTAGATCTAGAAGTTAATCAGGTTTAAATAATGCAAAAATCAGCTATTTTTCTTTCCATTTCCAACGCGGACATGTTTCCGTTTTATACAGGTAATTAAAGAGGAATATATATCAAGGGGGAAGCGGGGAGATTCCGTTAACCCTCTGCGTGCGCATCACAACCACTCGGCAAGATTGTACTTTACCGGACCACCGGTCGGAACTACTTTCGCTCTGGCGCCCCTGGTGCCTGGCTATTCTTCCTTTTCGGGCTCCCCTACTCTTTCAATGTCCACACGCTTCGACTGCCAACAGTCGACTGTCGTCTCTTACCGGGTTTTTCAGTCATCACGACCATGCCATCGTGCCTTTTGACCCTGACACCTTGAGGCTAAATGGTCAATCTAATCACATGTTCCATTTTTCTTATTTTTATTTGCTCGCGACTCTGCTGGCTAGGGCCTAGGCCTACTCCTGGTCCGGCAAAGTACAATGGAGGGCGATAGATGCGCACGAGAGCTCATTTGCATAAAATTGTAACCCCTTCAGCACTACTCGCGACTTGGCGAGTGCTGCTAAGCAAGGACCCCGATTGTTCGCTCATGTTATTGAGTTATTGTATGCGTGTGTTTTTAAATTATTGTTGCAGGAACCCCCCCCCCCCCCCACTGTCGTTACATTGATATGTAAATACGACTGTCCGCTCTCATGTTATTTTTTTGCATTTGTGTGTTTTCTTTATTATATTAAATAGTTTCCAGGGGCGCAAGCCCCCCCCTGAACCCCCCCTCCCCACTGTTGGTCCACCAAAGTTAAATCTCCTGCCCACCTTCAATGCCTTCAACTACCACCTCTCGCCAGTCACCACTGGCTTGCGCTGTGCGTGCGCAAAGTCTCCCGCGGAACTACCTTTTGTCCGCACGTAGAGTACTATGAGTGCGTAGTTAGGCTTGGCGTGCGTAGTAATCACGGGCCGAGACGGGTGGTCAGGTAAAGTACAATCCAGCCCTGCTCAGCACTGATTTGAAACATAACTCTAGCAAGTTTGGTTCCACCGGCTCTAAACTTAACTTTGACGAGGAAAGGGAGCAGGGGTGCAATTTGAGGGAGAGCCCTGAGCAATGAAGATGGTCAGGGTGGTGTGTGTGAAATCTCACGAGTGCCAGTGAAAGTGCTCAAGAGGTGCTCCAGCACGTAAACTTCCATTGGTAGCCAGAGGTGTGAAATTAGTTGGACCAATGCCTGCCGCCCGGATCGTTCGGCCAGCCGAGACGAGAGTTCCTAGAATCATTGTTTCATGGCAGTGAGGGGTGGCATTGGTCGTTGACTGTGCTTGTTACACGGATGGGTGGGACTAAGAGTGGCAGCAAGGAGATGTTCAAACGTTCCTGTTTTAAAAATGGGTCGAACAGTGGTCCTATGAAATGTAAGCACTGGTGGTAGATCTAATTGGATAAATAAGACTGACGCTTGTCATTATCAGAGAAGATAGCACAGTAACAGCTGAGAGGTGTGAAGTTTTGACTGCTTGCCGACGAGACAAGCAACCCTTGATCCCACCGGCTGGGCCTTTGAACCCCCCCCACCAAATTCCCCTGAAGACGGATTTTTTTCTGGGGCTGTCTCAGTGCGATTCCGTCTTACACAGGTTCGACTGTACTACTTCCACTACACTACTGATTACTGTCTCTACTGTAGTCTTCACTCACACTACTACTTAAGTTACACTACGTAACAACGTAAGTAAGGTGTCAACACAGATGTTCCCTTTGTTGTAGAAGAAAGTGAATGAAACGTAGCTTACCTGAGTTTGGTGTGAACTACCGTGATATGTTTTAGTACTGTACATAACTGATGGCAGCTCTACAACTTCATCTGACTGATATGGTTTTACTCCATACATTGGAGTGATAGGCCCGTTCGCTTCCATGGCGGCTGCCATTTTTTCTCTCTTTCCGATTGATATGCCAGATAAAATATCTTTTGATGAGGACAGAAGGAAGCCTAGCCAAGCCTAGGTAGTATGTAGGCCAGGAAGGTAGGCCTAGGCCACAGAATTCTACACTAAGTGTAGGATTCTGTGGCCTAGGCCCAAAGGTAAAGGCCAATTGGAGGGGGTGGGGGTGCTATAATCAACCCACACCTGGAATGTTTTCCTTTTTATTCTCGTTTTAATTTCTCAGCATGAGTCTCAATTTTTCTACTATGAAATTGTGATTTGTTTCTGTTCAGAACAAACGTTTATAATTTGTTGTTTTGCTTTTAGTCAATGCTTTCATTCTCTCACCAATAAGCTTGTATCTGCTGTTAAGCCTATATAGGTCAAGGGTGAGGATTGAAAGGTTGGCATGGATGCGTGAATTCTGCCAAATTCTGCAATTTTTTTACTTGACTCATCAGGAAAACCAAGCCATGTAGCAGGCAATCGACGCAACTCGTGGAAATTCTATTTTTAGAAGATCCCCCAAAACTTCGTAAAATATCGAACATTCCCGTTCTGGCCCGAGACGACGCACTTTCATTTTATGTTACAAGCTTTATGATTGGCTACTTATTTAGAGCGAAATCATCTTTTTAGAACACCACATCAACACAAAGTGTCTGTACTAAAGTATGAAAAAGAAAAAATGGGACCCCATCATCAATCATGTACTAAAGAAAGACTTTTAAAAGTAAATTTTAATGTATAAACACTCTATTGGTGTCTGATTCTAATAAAAGAAATAGCCAATCGTGTATGCGCTTATTTGAAGCGCTCTTCTCCCTGCGATTGCTTGTCTTGCTCGATTGGAAATTACATCATGATGGTTTTCACGACTTCATCTCTGTGTTTTCACTGCAATTGTTGCATTCCCTATCAGGACTTTGATGTATTTAAAGTGTTGGTGTGCCGTTGAGCTTCGATTGAGGAGTTATTTCTTTGAAAAAGACTAAAAAGTGTGTTTTGATAGGTTCATATGGTCACGTGACCACTAGTTTGTGAAATGGCGGCTTCCGAAAATTTTCAACATGAGATCTAAAAACACAGTGTATACTGCAAAGGGAGGCCACAGTGATCCGCTGCTCTGGTTCTACTTTCGTTTTGGAATGTCTTAGATACTAATTTGTCTCAGAAAAATGTCAACCAGAGCAAGGCGAGCAAGGGGTCGTCCCCCAAAAACGCCTTTGTCCACGAATCGCACAAATTTTTTGCGAAAACCAAAAGCTTACCAAAATCAGGAGCATGGTATAAACAGTACTGGCAGAGCATCACCCGTCACCCACTACAGATCATCAAGAACCGAGAGAGGACGAGGCCGTGCTGCTGCCAGTCGAGGGAGGCATTTCTTGAGCCAGTTAATAGCAGATGATGATGAAATTTCCTCTCTGCCAGAATTTGAAAATGATAGAGCCAGTGATTTCACAGATTTGGACAATACTGATCATGTGTATGATAATGTTGGATCTGATGCTTCATTTGAGGGTGAATCAGATCAAGAGTCAAGTGATAATGAAAGTTTGAGTACAGTTAGTAGCTCCGTGAGTCGGAGGAAAGTTCTATTGAAAAGACCTAAAACACCGGATATTGGCGACGATAAAGACATTCCAGCCCTGGAATTGCCGTCTAGTGCTACAGATTTGTTGCTTCCCGCGGAGCATATTTTGCAAGCAATTGGAATTTACGAAGTCCTCAGACACTTCAGAACAATTCTTCGTTTATCGCCATTTACATTTGAAGACTTCTGTGCTTCTCTGTTGTCTGATGAGCAAAGCAATCTGCAAGCAGAGATTCACATCACACTGCTTAAAGCTCTTCTACGAGAGGAGGATGCCAGCAATACTACTTTTGGTCCGCAGGATTTGAAAGACAGCATCAATATTTCAATATACTACCTTGATAGTATGACATGGCCTGAAATTATTCGGGCATACTTAGACAGTGAAATGCATCCAGAGTATCGTGCTCATTTATCCATCCTAGAATCTCCTGACTTTCCATTTGTACCATACGCAGAAAAGCTCCAAGTGCTACAGACCTTGACTGACTTATTCCTTGCAGTATCTAAAGTTCGAGAAGAGATCATCAATGAAGGCAATATTCAGTATGATGATCATTGTCGAGCATGCCATAAGTGAGTATCTTTGTTTTGTGATGTCATATCTTGAATTCTGTTCTATTGGCTGCTGTATTATAGTTTTGTGTGTAATATAATTTAAAGATGGTGTAAAAGTCTCAAGTTTTGGTATTCTTTACTCGGTAATTTCTTTCACTCCGGCACACAGAGATGCCGTGCTTTAGGGGTCAAACTACGGTATTTTTTGCTGCAGATCACTCATGTAGCCTCTACAACTGTCGCAAATCAGTAATTTATATCAAGAAAATGCAAAATGACAAACTTATCTCTGAAAAATAAAAATTATAAGGTTAAAACAGGGGGGGGGGGGGGGGGATGCCCCCCCTGTAACCCCCCAAATTTTTCTTTTACTTCAAACCCCCCTCCCGATTGGTTCTAAGTGTGGAAAATTACTACGCTATTAGGTAGTGGATAGTGTGACCTAGATTAAAACCATCAAATGTTTTTAAAAACCAATAATTGGGTGGGAAAAAAAAAAACACCCTGGTTTTTAGCCTGCCCTGCCGGCAAAAAAAGGTTCCCAAAAAAAAAAAATTTTGGGGGGAAAAAGTTTCCCGAAAAAAGACCCCAGATGTAAAAAATCTCCCATATTGGGTTTTGATACTACACAAAAATATCGATTTAACTCTTTAAACATGTCTGGACGGTGGCAGCATCCGGTAGTTGAGGTCTGTAACCATGGTTGGACGCTACCATTGTCTGATACGAAGTTATTATTGTATTATGGTACTGGCAGAGAATAAAAAATACGGGCTAACAAGCCTTTAGTTTGACCCGGAAGTCAAAGATGAGAATGAATTCTACGTCTGGGTAGTGCTTTATATAATCAGTTTGACGCGAAACGAGCGTTTTTTAAAACATAATATGTCGGGTCACATTACCACATACACTAGAGAAAATCACGCGGAAACGTGATTTTAAATTGCATGGTTAAAGATTTAGTTTCCATCGCAAATTAATAATTAATAGATAGTTTTTTCACTAAGAAGCCTAATTGTGTGATTTCCGCACTTTGGGACCATCGGGGGGGTTTCAAAGGGGCATACACACCCGTTTGAAAGTATTAAAATCTGGGGTATTGGGGGGGGGGGGGGGGGGTAATTTGATGTTTTGCTGTTAGGTTTGAAATTTTTTTGAAAATAATTGATCGATTTATAACAGTTTTTAGTGGCCTTATTGATGTGCAGCAAAAAATACTGCAGCACAGTTCCACCCTCGAAGCAGTGCATCTATTCTATGTGCACGTGTGAAAGTAAAATATACACAAGTTTTTATGGCATGCATCGCGTGCACACTGGAAACTTTCAATAGAGAATAAAAATTTGCTTGTTAAGAGTAACGGTAAGGGAGAAAAGCTTGCTATTGTATTAGTTTACAGTGGTGTGGAAATTGCTAACCTTGCATTTTTTGGATGCCCAAAGATATTTTTGAAGTTTGTGCTTTATGAAAGGTTTTTCTGTTGATTCGAACACCGGGAATGAGCTGGGACTTGGAGACAATGGACTTGGGCATGTTAGGTTCTGGTCAGGGTCAGGGCAAGCAAAGTTAAAGGAAAACTTTTACATACCCAGAGTTCCCACCCAACGGGGAAAATAGGAAAAAGCAAAAAATTTCATTTTTACATCAAGCCCAGTTAAGAAAGCACCATGAAAATGGATGGCAACATAAATAAAAAGAAAAAGGAGAAAAAAACCCCTGAAAGTCAAAGGGCGCTCATCATTGCAAATTTGGCAGAATCGTTACGATTTTTGAAAATAGTCTTTACACCTTTGATTCTGATTTTAAAAAATTAACTTTCCTGTATGGCTACCCCAACCCATACCCACCTTTCTTGCATTAAGGAAATAATAGATCCTGGTGGTGACACAATAAGCTGTGGCACATGGCATTACTGTGTTGTGATGCACAATCAGGAGAGAACCAAAGACTTGTGACGCATTCTGTCAGTTTCTTGTTTTTTAAGTCAAGCTGACAGCCAATGACTGCCACCCCCATCATATCTTTTTTTTCCTTTAAATTGCCAACGACGAGCTTGCCGAGACCTATAATTTCTTCATCACGCCTTTGTTAATGGTTTATGTTCATTGTGTGACATGACTCTGTCTTTGACACTTTGGAAGTGGACTATCCACGGCCATATTTTGATCTTGCATAATTTCTCTTCATTTCTTGTCTCTCATTCCTGTCATCTTTAAAAAAGATTCCCTTTGAAAATGATCACATAATAAAATCCAAGAGAAAATCAGGGGGAAAAATGGATAAAATACCTTCTCCTAGTCCTAGGTGAGTTAGAACCCTGTGAAGTATTAACCAGACACAACATGAGATAGCGAATTTGAAAGGCAACCCTGGACCCTCTTTCACTACTTTCAGAGTGATACATGATACAGCATTTATTTTGTTTCATGAAATGAAGTCTCATGATGAATATCATTATATTCTCTCCATAGACTACTTTGGCATCTGCCTTACACATCAGAACAAGTCTTTAAAAAAAAAAAAAATCAAGAGAGGTAAAGAGTTGGAGAGAAGAGAGGGAAGAGAGAGAGAGAGAGGGGGGGGGGTGTATGGTGTCTTCCTTGTTTCCCGTATCACAGTATGCATTCCATTCTATTAATTAAAAAAAAAAGATTTCATATAATGTGAATCGAGCGAACATGAGAACAAAGAAAACCCTCTTTCACATCTTTCAGTGATACATGATACAAATATTTGTTTTGTTTCATGAAATGAAGTCTCTTTCTCTTCCATTTACTTTGGCATAAAAGCTGCCACCACTCATTAGGTAATACATACTACAGTGGAATCCTGTTATAACGAGAGGGAGGGGACCGGTGCGAAATGTCCGTTATAGCAGGATTCTCGTTACAAGGGATCCAGTAATAAATTCAAGGGAAATAGTAAAGCAGGCCTAATAATCTATGAGTTTGGCGTTCTGTTTATTACTTTTTGTATTTCCCCTGACTGATGGTGATTTGTTCAACATGATCTCTAGGTCTAACTTGATAAAAAAAATCGAATCAGGTTTCTTTCTCTAGCACTAGCAATGTTGACAAATCGGCCTTGGCAATCAGAAAGAAGGGGCTCTGGCTCAAGGCTTACTCGCCCGCTGTGTTGTCCCCCACCCCACCACACCCTGTGGTGCGTTGCGTCTGCTTGCTTACGTCACACAGTCACTCCATCCATCTATCACAGCATTGTGACCTCTCCATCCCGCACCAGAGAAGTGAGAGGCACGGTATACCTAGATAATATAGACTGGGCTGGCCTATCATGCGATGCGTTCTGCCACACCCTCCCCATTCGTTCGCTCCGGCCTTCATTGTTGGTTCGCGTGAGCTCTCCCATTCTTTGTTTTGCTGGATCACCAACAACTTTCTCAACTGGCAAGGTTTTATAATATTATGTTTAATTGGTCTGTGCACTGTGCACAGCAGCAGCAATATATTCCGCTAAAATCGACTCGCGTGACGGTCTGATTGCGCAATAGCAGTATTTTGTTTACAAAGATAAAGAAGGAGCAAAAACGGGGTTTTAGAATAATGTCTTTATAACAGACTTTTCGTTGTTTCAGGACTCGTTATAAGTGGACTCCACTGTAATAATTATTATTTATAAGTGCTGTTTTGTTTCTCTATATAATTTAAATATGATATATAGCCAAGCATTTTAAAATAGTTGGATTTCAACAGTTTGGTTAACATGTGTAAAACATAAATTATCAACATAATTTAAACCCACATCCTCCTCAAAATGATCGCAAGAGCTGGTTACCGTCCAAAGTTTTGCGTCTTTGATGAGTCTATAGTTTTTCTCATCATGATATAATTATAATAATTATACGCATGATCTGATGTTTTTTTCCGCACAGGCTTGGAGACCTCCTGTGTTGTGAGACATGTTCTGCTGTTTATCATTTGACTTGTGTTGAGCCTCCTATGCAAGAAGTCCCAGAGGATGACTGGCTTTGCAGTGTATGCAGAGCCCATCAGGTAATAATTTATCCCTATCCGTACGTCGTGTTTTACTATCGTATCCATACGAATGGGGAATTCTCTGCCACCGCTTTCCAAGAGCAAATTGACTTGTTAATCCGATCCGTACGCTTTGCATAGAGCAGTCTGTCAAAATGATTTTTGAGAAATACTGAAAGTTTCAAAGAGATCTTCGTACTAGAAGTATACTAAACTGTACTGTGAAGAATACAACCCTGGGGGTACAAAATGACCCCAGGGCGTATGGATAAGATTAAGAGTTTGTCAGATAGTCAATTAGCCTAGTGTGTTACCATAGTTTGTGGTACTGTAATAGCTGTATACTAGGATGAGAGCACCTTGATAATGTAAGTCAATTGTAAAATTATTTTTTTTGAAGTAGAAACTGCCAATTTCAAAGTCCTTCTGTTTCTGGTTCTGAAAGCGGGCTGTACAAACAACCCTCTTCTCATAAACTGAATGCCAAAGTCTTTCTCATTCTTTTAGATGCTTTTCAAGTTATTGAATGTAAAAAAAAAATTGTACTGAATGGTAAAATTTCAATTTGTTGTATTTATGCACTTACAGGTGAAGGGAGTCACTGATTGTGTGTCGGAGGCAGAGAAAAGTGGGCTCTTGAGCAGACAGGAGCCCATTGGCTATGACAGACATGCTCGAAAGTACTGGTTCCTGTGTCGCAGAATCATTGTGTAAGTACAAAGGAAGCTTATTGATTTTATGTAGTACCCCAGTTTTATTTCACACAACAGAAATGTAATATGATTTGATTTTGCACAGCTTTAGTTTTATCAATTTTTGAGCATCACCAGCAAGCTTTGTGGATTCAATTACGAACTATCATTTGGTTTTATAGATAATGCTACCTTAGGATAGATTGTGCACATTGAAAAGCGCGAGAGGTACGAGGGACATCCAGAAAGTCGTTTTCACATCTCTCTGAACTGGGTTAGGATATTCCCGATTTTGCACCAGGGTGAGTTGATATGTTCAATACTGAACCGGAAAGAGCCCTCAGCATCCCTCTTGCCGTTGTAAACAACAGTCTACAACGCTTGTCACACCCATTTTTTTCCCCACCAGTTTACACAGCCACATTCTGTATGAAACCTCCTACACCCTTTTGAAGCTTCAACATGTCTTCCAAGATTGAAAATTATGCTGACAGAAAATTCGGTCTGTTATTTGTTTTCGGACTGCAAAGAACACGAAGCCTAGCGACATTCACAGGCAGATTTCAGAAGTGTATGGTGAAAATGCAATGGGCGAAAGCAAGGTGCGGAAATGGGTTAGCATGTTTCAAGAGGGACAAGAAAATTTACATAATGAACCCAGGAGTGGGCGTCCATCTTTGGTCCAATGATTTGATAAACGAAATTAACATTAAGGTAAAGGAAGACAGGCATTTTACCCTTTCCTCACTGTCTTCAAACTTTCCTGAGATTTCAATGTCGCTTCTGCATGAAATCATCACTGACCATTTGGGTTATCGAAAGGTGTGCTCACGCTGGGTACCCACGCAGCTGACACAAGCGCATAAGGATCAACGGGCTGCCAGCACGTTACAATGACGAAGGAGATTACTTTCTTACTCATAATACATTATATTGTGACGGGGAGGAAACCTGGTTGCCCCACTCCACGCCCGAGTCAAAGCAGCAGTCGATGCAGTGGAAGCATACGGACTCTCCCCAGCCAAAAACGTTCAAGCAGGCTGCGTCAGGGGAAAAAGTCATGTGTTCAGTTTTTTGGGACAGGCAAGGAGTTCTTTTAGTCAAATTTTTGGGAAATGGGATGACAATTTACTCTGATGTGTACTGCAATACACTTTAAAAATGCGTAGAGCGATTCGAAACAAAAGACGCGGAATGCTTTAGAGACGCCGTTGTTCTGCTTCACAACAATGCAACTCTTCACAAGTCTGCACAGACACAAAACATGATCGCCTTCTCCGGATGGGAATTGTTGAAGCACCCATTATACAGCCCAGATTTGGCTCAGAGTGACTTTCATCTGTTCCTGCATTTCAAAAAGTTTTTGGCCGGGCAGGACTTCAACTCAGACGCTGATCTCACAGCAGAGACTCGACATTGGCTGACATCGCAGGCGGCAGCTTTCTACGATGAGGGCATTCAGAAGCTCGTCCCACGCTTTGACAAATGCCTCAACAGTTCTGGTGACAACGTGGAGAAGTAGTCAAATGTATGAGGTATTCAAAAATTAATCGTTTTGATAGGGAAAATTATTTCTTTTATAATTATTAAAAAATGGTACTTACTTTCTGGACATCCCTCGCATGTAAGTTTTTTCTCTTATTTTTCTTTACTATTGTGTGCTATGAATAGCCAGCAATGGCTTTTACAGTTTCATGAATATGAAAGTCTAAAGGTCCTGCACACGTGGTACGTGGTATATAAATGGATTCTGTGGTTGTAAAGATGAGCAGTGAAAGCCACACCATGTGAAATACTGTAAGGCGGCTGTCTCAAACATGAGTTGATTCATCTGCATACAACAAACTTCTTCTGAAAGACAAAATTAAAGTAAACGCAGATACAATTTAGTTGATATTTCCAATGTGTTATGTCAGCCTTTGATATATTTGAGTGTTGTGAACATTTAAGTACAAAAGGGTGCTCTCGTGGCCTAGAGGTTAAGGTGTTGGCCTCTCATTCAAAGGTCCGGGGTTCTAATCTGAGGAACGACAGAAACATTTTATTCTCTAAAATTGTCTCCTTTCACCCCTTTCCCTGCTCTGTAGCAGTGCTCTGTCGTCTGCTTTTCTACACTATACCTTCTCGGACAAGGGCGAAATATCACTGAGGGCCTGTGTACAAGTTGCGCACGTTAAAGATCCCTTGGATGGTCTTAAATCGATAAGAGTTGGCTTCGGCCGCCACCTGCGCAAAATTCAAAATTTCCTACAAATTGAAAAAGTTTAATGTATCCCGTGAGCTCATATGACCTTATACAGTTGCAAGCGCCGTAAAGCACGTAGCAAAAAAAAAAAAGAAGTACAAAATTTTAAGTGTTTTCGTTTTTTTCATATATTTATGTTTAGTTGTTCATGTTCATGTTTTTTTTTTTTTTTTTTTGGTGTGTTCCCAGGGAGAGTGAAAGTGAGACACGCTATTACAGCACCAAGTTCCAGCTGGAGGAGCTGTTGGAGAGTTTGGATCCCAACTGGGAGGGTGACCTCATCTCTTATGTCAACGAAATGAAAGATGACATTTTGAAGCAGATGACCTTTACTGAAGAGCTCACAAATTCCTCAAAGGGAAGTCGCAAGTCAATGATGGAAATTGAAAATGGTCAGTGTTTGTTAAATATATATCAGGAATTGTACATCTAGAGGTCCTTATCAAAACCAATAAAAATATGAATTTCATTCATTTTTTTTCCCGTGCAGCCTCATTAAAAAATTTTTTTCCATTTCGGCCTATATTTGTAAGTTAGATTTCCGCTTTCACCAAGTCTGTATCATTTTTTAAAACATAAAGTAAGATTAACATCTTTTTTTTATACTCATGTGTGTTTATAAAAAGAAGCAGAGGAAGTATCACTGTGCTAAAGTTGTCTTGCTTTAGTGTGTTGTTTTTATTTTGAATAATGCATTTGATGATTCTTTATTGATGTCATTGGCTTTCTTGATTTGTTCAGTTTTGTAACAAATTGATGCTTTCAAGTCTTTTTTTTTTTCATGTTTAGTATGTTTTTAAGAATGCTTTGATTATTTTATCTTTACTCCCTATAGCTCAACTTATCAAAGTTCAAGCAGAAAGAGCATTGAAGAAAGCCAGGGAAGAAGAGGAACGTAAGGCAAAAGAAGAAGAGGAAAAGAAGAAGAAGGAGGAGGAAGAGCTTAAGAAGAAAGAAGCAGAGGAAAATCAGGAGGAGGAGTCTGGGAGCACTGAGAAAGAGAAGGAAGACTCGGATGAAGCAGAGATCGAGGTATATGTTGTTTTAAATAGTTTTAATTTAGGTTTTTGTATTTTTGGGAGATGGTATGTCTTGTTTTAGTTCAATGTGAGTAATCGGTGTCAGTGCTTTGATTAGTATGTATATATGTTCATGTATAAAATATGACTTAATATTACTAAATTCATAAATTCATATATATGTTACTACTCCTCTCCTTTCCAATCCAGCTGATGTTTGCTGAGTACTCGTATTGGAACAGCTCCTACTTTTTTTCCTTTTTTGTGTTAATTTATCATATTCTGTTCCTGACAAAATGTGTCTGTTATCGTGCTGTCTCACAGAAAGCTTAGGATTAATTCTCCCATTCCTGTATCTAGTATTGCAATCATTTGTACTTGATAAAACATATCCCAAACCTCCTCATGTCAAGAAAACAAGTCTTTGAGCTTTCTGTGTAGTAGCAGTAGTGGATGCCAGCCAATGAAAGAAAAGAATGACTGCCCATTAAATTCAGTTTCATAATATAAAACTTTTTTCCTTTTCAGAAATCAGAAGTTGTTGAATCAGAGTCTGAAGTTACTTTGCAGACAGAGGAAACCGCAAGCACTGTGAAAAAGAGTAGTTCAGGAGACACTCAAACCACTGAGATAGTGGAGACGACCACCTCAACTACCACTGTGACCACTGTCAAATCCACCACCACAACCACCACCAAATCACTGTCCGATTCAGAAAATGAAAACGATGATGTCAGTGATGAGCCACCTGCAAAAGTAGCTAAACTCGACGATGAGACAGCAACTAGTAAAATGGCTGGGGATGGAGATAAGTCAACTGGTGATAGTGCTGAGAAAGATGCAGGGACCAATACGGTGGAAAATAGTGGCGACAAAAGTAAAGAGGACAGTAAAATCGTCCTGAGCAGTAAGTCTGCTTTAGCAGAAGCCATAAAAGCCAGTAGCGACGGAAAACCAAAAGTGATAAACTTGCAGTCCCTTCTTCCAGCGGCCAGACAGACACTGCTCAATGTGGTGGACAAGAGTGGTGAGGAGAGCAAAAACGATGCCAGCACTAAGACTGTGCTTCTGGTGAACAGGGAGGGAGGGAAAGTTACATTACAAGTGCAACGGCAGCCGGTTAGTAAAGAAGATGGGAGCTCTGACTCGACCGTCACACACACCACTACCTCAACAACCGTGAATGCCACTGAGTCAAGAAAAATGCTCACTAGGTCTAAGACTGGCTCCCTAACACCCAAGCTGTTCACTGATTCTATCACCATGACAACCAGCTCTTTGAAAACGTCTGGGAAAAGTTCGGAGGATGTGCTTGTAATGAACAAGGATGGGGAGGTAACTCGTGTCAGCCGAGGGAAGGTCTCTCTTGCCAGCAGTTTGGCGCATCAGTCTGTCTTCTTCAAGCTAGGTGAGTGTCACTTCTCACGTAATGAAAACTCTTTTGTCTCCCGCTAGTTGCATATTCACAGTTTTGTATGTTATCATTCATGCGGCAATGAACACACCAACTTTGTTTCAGGGTCATGAAAAGACAAGATGCAGCTTCTCTTCAATTGTTGTGTAGTTCTCTGTGTCTGTCTCGGAGAGAGAGAAGGGTAGCTGCATTATGTTGGCATGGAATATTAGCTTTTTGGACAGGTTTATATTGCTAGAGAAATGATAACAGATTGAATGGTGCTGTCATTTTGACATCTAAGAAATTCTTTTTAGATTCTTGAATGAAAACAATCCTTTTTTAGTTTTAAGCTGATTCTTTGCTTATTAAATTATTTGTATACCAAAGGGGTGTGTGACTGATGTAAAATTATGCCCTCAGCATTTTACCCTTTAATGCCTTTATGTTGTTGATGTATGTGTATTTGATCTATCATAGTTCTTTTAATATTTTTTGGAAAATTTCAAAAGATTTCATTTTGAATGCACAGATTAACCATTCATTTGATAAGTTTTTGGCACAATCGACAACATATTCATGACATTATGTCATTTGGTTTAGTCCTTTGTATGATTTGTGCACTTCGAATAATCCGATGTCTTTTTGGCTCTCCTTTATTCTATTATATCAATGGGGCTAGTCTTTTCACTGTGGCAAATTTGAATATGAGGCAATGTTTTGAAAATGGACAAAGTTGGTAATGGCGATTTTGTGATCTACCCCTTTTTTTTAATGCAAGTACTGTTTCTGTGCAGTATTAATTTTATTCTAATGCACCCAGGATATATTATGGTGACAAGACTTGATTTGTATTTGTTAGGTGCTGAAGGGTCGTTCAAGCAGTTCCAGAACCAGTACACGACCAATACGCTGGCCCTGAACAAGCATCAGCACAACGAGGAGAGGGATAAGAGGCGCCATCTTAGCCACAAGTTCTCCCTCACTCAGACTTCAGAGTTCAAGTGGAACGGCAACATCGTGGGCAACAAGATGAGCACGTTGGCCACACTGCGCCTCACCATCACCACTCTGGAGGGAAACGTTCAGGTGAAGTGAAAGACTGTTCTTTGTTTTTTTCTCAGATACATCTTTTTATCTACAACCGTGTAAGAAAGATTGCGCTTGTAGATGATAAAGTTCTTTCTTGTCTTATTACTTTTCTTTTTCAAAGCGTTGTTATTAACCCAGTACTGACTGAAGTGTCTTTAGGCCATTCCCAAAGAGGGGACATTTCTCGTTCAAGCATAGTAGAATTGTAAATGGGCTGACTCATGTCACGCTCATAATTGTGCCTGATCTACAACAGGGAACTGCTGCTTTTTCTTTCCTGATCCTTACTATTGTCGTTTTCCTCTACTTCTTTAGTATGTTTGTCACTCTCTTGTGACCTGCCATTTTGGGCGCCTTGATAGTCAAAGCAGACCTTGTGCTGTTGAAGCTAGAGAGGTGAGCAGTCTAAGTCTGATTCCCTGTAAAGACATCTCTGTTGACACCCACTCCTTGGGGCTCATATGACCTTATGCAGTTGCGAGCGCCGTAAAACCCTGTACTATAGAAAAATACTACTACCCAGTGTCTATAATGTAGTTATTTGCTTCACTGTCAGAAGCAGGAGAACCAAGTTTGATTTGCATATGGGGAGATGCTTTTATTGAGTTTTCCAATTTTTCTGTTGGGATGTTGTATCCCTTTCAGCCTGGGTAGGCCATGACAGTCAGGGTTGAAAGCTCGCCTACTAAATGATCTAAATTGTGTCGATGAAGACGTAAAAGCACATACTTTTAAAAAAAATAGGATTCCATTATTTGTTTGTTCATCATCTTTTGTTTTCATGGTAATCTCTGTAGCTTGAATGTTGAAATTTTAGCTGTCATGCTCCTTTTTTGCTCCACCATTCCCGGTTTAATGAAGGTGGGTGTTCAGTTTGTCTTTGTTCATCCGTAATTGGCAATTATGTTGTGTTGCATTAATAGATAAAAATCAAATTTAGACAGACAATTCTACCGGAGTGTTTTTTGTTTCTATTGTACAGTTCATAGAATTAGATTTCTGTATCCTGAAGAGAACTCTAAAAGTGTCTTTTGTTGTTTTTTTTACAGGCTCCCTTCTTGCATTCTAATTGGCCGAATCACCGGCAGAACTGGCAGAAAGCAGTGCAGATGTGTCAGAGCCCACGTGACTTTGCTCTGGCATTGACCATTCTAGAAGCTTGTATCAAGCCGTGTGTATTCAACCCTGTTTGGCACGAGTCACTTGGTGAGTTCTGTGTTGCAGCTTCATGTGTTATAGTGTGGTCTGTTTTTTTCGTGCTTTTCACGGCAACAAAGTTATTCACGAAGAGGGACCTAGTGTTTTCATTGAAAAGGGTCGAGCCATGATGACTTGGGAAAACTTCGGAAGCGAGCCAAGTTCCGGGGGGGGGGGGTTATTTTAGCATGGTACCAAGCTTTAGGATAGCTTGCTCCCCTCTGCTGCATCTTTAAGGTGAAATTATTAAGGGAGTGTCTCTTTAAGGGATATTCGTCAGATTTTACCACCAAAGTAAAGAATGTTCCAGGAACATTTCTTTGTTGGTTGCCCAGTAAGTTCCTGAAACATAATCAGGTCCGCCTGAAAGGAAAAATTACTTTCTTGGTAAATATGTTTCTAGCGTAAGATGAACTAAGACAAAAATGTTTAAACAGTTGTAGTTGTATTTCTTACTTTCTTCATCTGAAGTGTTCACACTGAGAATACCCACCCCTCCTTCCCACATGTAGTTATTTAAAGTGTTTGGGTTTTTTTTGCACATCACAATAGGTTATCTGTAGTTTATGTACCTTAGTAGTTTGTATTTATGCTATTGCATATTCATGCCCTATCACTGCACAATGTTAATTCGTCCAGGTCATCTCCGCTTGAACCGAATCACTGTGGCCGACAGAGAGGAGTGGAAGAAGAAGGAGAAGGAGCAAAGACGAAGAAAAGAGGATGAAGAGGAAGTGAGGCCAGTTGTGTGGATCAAGTACACCATGGGTTTAAAACATCAGGTAATTTTTTTTCTTGGTTTTTGTGTTGTTTGATTCCCCACTAGGAGCAACACAGAAAGGTCATTCACATGGCAGATTACTTTGTTTGGTGGTTTGAGCAAAAAAAAAGAAAGGATGAGATTAACACATTACACCCTAACTCGCCCGCGAATTCCCTTATGTGCTCCACCCTGACTCGCCCGGAACCGCCTGCGCTGACCTAGCGTCTTTAGAAATGAATCTGGGGCCAAGATTTTGATTTGCATAGTTATTGCAAAAAGTTTCTTCTTTCGTTTGATACCGAAACAAAATTTTTCAGGCTAGTAGGTTTAGTATTGGAGCCCCACGAAGTGCGATCGTGTTACCGACACTTCGAAGGTGTCTCGACTTGTTGAAAAGCGACACAATTGAGTTCGAAAAAAGGAAATAACGATGGATTTGAGCAAAAACAAGCATATGACAAATCAGATGACTCAGATTTTGATGAAAACATTGTAGCAAGAGTTAGGGGCAATTCAGATTGATCAGACGTAGAAAATCTAGAATTTAGATCTAGGGCCTGACTGCGAGGCTGAGAGTGGCAGTGATGGGTTGGACACCCCGATTGAACTAAAGTTAGAACATTTCCAACAGTTTGCGCATACATAAAGTTATATATTTCTGAAACTTCATTCATTTTTCGTTTTAACTTTTATTTTTTCAGGATTTTTGGAATTTGTTTAGTATTTTTAAAATGTGTTTTTTAAAGGCTTGTATCCCCTTGCTTAGGATCTAACAATGGACTTCCCGTCCAGACCCTTAGGGTGTAATGTGTTTAAGTGAATTCCGTTCATGTGTATTTGTTGTATGTCATTTTTAGATAAGACTTGTTTCAATTCCTACTGATTTTTGTATTTTAGCAGAGAGGGTACTAATGTGTGTTGCTAGGGGGGAGGGTAACATGTTGTAAAGGTAAGAAAATCAAACACTAACAAGGTAATTGTACAAAGTCTTTCATGGTATGTTTCCCTCAGAGATTTTCAATTGTTGCAGAATTTGAAGTTCACTATTCAAATTTGTGCTGGGTTAAAGAATGTTTTGCATATTTTTTTGCTCTAAAATATCAGTGCAGTAAAATGCGATGCTCTACGCGATCTACTGTAGTTATTGTAGCTGATTTTTGTGCAGTCCTTTTCTCACTGCCATAACAAATTGACCATTTGGAGTTGGCATTATAGCCCATTTTTTCCCATGCTGCTACAAATCATGTCCTTGCGGTTCAGTAAGATTACTATGTCTCATTTGCATTTGTATAATAATGTTTTTGTGCATAATTTTTTCCCCTGAAATATAATAACAAATTATAATGTGATTTTTTTTGTCAGGTATGGAAGCAAAAGGGTGAGGAGTACCGCGTCACGGGGGGAAATGGCTGGCAGTGGACGAGTGCTGTCCGCAACTTCAAGGAGGTTCCTCAGGACACAGTTGGCCTGCGACTTGTTGCTCAGAGACTCAAGAACCGTAAAGTCAAGGCTGCTAAAGCTGCTAGCAAGGGTTCTAAGTCCAGTGACAATGACGATGGGGCTGAGGAGGAGGAGAAAATGGAGGTGGAGGATAGTTCTGGGGAAGGAGCAACAGAAACAGAGGCTGCATCTGAGACAAAACCGGATTCTGAGCAGCCGAAAGTGAAAGAAGAGGCTATGGATGTTGATGAAAGTGACAAAGTTGACAGTGACACAAAAAGCTCAAGCATGGAAGATGGCAGCGCTGAAGACAAAAGCTCTAATGCTGAAGAGAAAAGCTCGACTAAAACAGAGGCAGATACTGAGATAAAAATGGATGTGGGCGAGGAGCAAGTTAAAGATACTCCAAGAAGTAGTAGGCGAGTAAGCACACTGCCTGTAAAGAAGGAAGTAAAATCTGCATCCCTGAGAGACCAGCGAAGGCAGTCAGCAGTCGATAATTTCTTGTCCTTCATGAAAGAGAAGTATTTGGAAGAGAAAGACAATGTTCTAGCCCTGGAGCTGTTGAAACAACATCCACCAAAAGTTGATGTAGAGGTGATCAATGTCTGCGATGCAATACAGAAGCGTACCCACTACCCAAAAGTCACCAAACCTTACTCAAAGTTGGATAATCTCCTTGAGCGTCGTATGAAGCAAGATGAGTTTGAACGCAAGCAGAGAATGAGCATTGAGACTCAAATTGCTCTCAAAATGAAACTCAACCAAGCCATTGATGCTGCCAAGAAAAAGAAAGCAGAGGAAGAGAAGAAGGCTAATGTTGTTAAAGGAGATGCTGAACTTGTGAATGGAGAAGTGGATGACTCGCCCTTATCTTCAAAGTTGGCATCAACAAAACCGCAGTACTCGTGCTACTCTGTGTTGTGCCGCAGCAAAGACAAAAGCGTCTACTCCCGTTGTTACTCCCCAGCCTGTCAGCTGAGCAAGCAGTTGGAAGAGAAGAGTTTGAAGCCCTCTGTGTCTGACGGGTCGTTGAGTAAGGACAGTGTTGAGGAGGATTCTGTTGGCAGAAGCAGTAAGGAGAGCACCCCTTCCGAGACTGCCCTGGCAGATGATACTGACCGGAGTGCAAGCCCAGAGGAGAAAGAAAAGGGGGAAGGCATGGACTCCTTTGATATGGAAGATGATAGTAGTAAAAAGGAAGATGATACGGACAAAATAGAAATGAAAGACGAAGGAACTAGTGCCAATATTGGGGATGCGAACACGGAAGAGGAAGATGTTGACATAGAAGGTGATATCAACAAAGACAGCGCCTCTGGTTTGAAACTAGGATTGGGGTCCTCGCAAGTAAAATCAAAGTCTGACGTTAACAAAGGTACTTCTTCTGGTTCTCAAACTGAAATCTCCAGCCAGAAAGAATCTGCTGGGGCGAGTTCCTCTCCCAACGAAAAATCTTTAGATGATGCACCTAACAAGGGTGCTTCTGTGTCTGACATTGTCAAGAACTTGGTGATCAAAACCATGGCGGAGAAGGCAGCATCGGGCAAAGGACCTGCTCTTTCAGCACAAGCTCTGACCGTCAGTGTTGAGGAGCTTGAGTCCCGACTGCCTCCAAAGCGTAGTACATCAGACAAATTCAAGTTGGCGAAATTCACCAGAATTTCCACTAAAAAGGGAGCCAGGGTGTCCAAGCATGGTCGCCTCCCTATGTGTCACAAGTTTGAGACCCCTTCCAAGAAAAGGAGTGTTCTGATTCTGGATAGGAATGAGCTGCGGAAAATTGCACGCCAGGGTGCGAAACGGGAGAGTGTGATGTTCAACTACAACTGCAAAATGAACAATGTGTGCTGGCCCTATCCTTGTCCACGGCCAGTGTTCAAGACTGCATGGCGTTTCCGCACAATGACCCTTCAGTCTCTCTCTGCTGCTGCCCTGCAGCTTCGTATCCTGTGGGCATGTATCAGGTATGTTGGTCTCGTGATATTTGTTGTTTCTTTTGTTCAAAGCAAGACATTGGCTTTTGTTGTGTAAAATAACTTCTTTGAATTTACTTTTGACATTGGTGGGTGGTTGGCTGGTGTTGTGTATGGTTTGCTCCTTCTTTCCCATTAAATCATCCTTATCTCTCCTCCTACTTTTTTGAGTATGCTACTTTCTTGTAACACCTCTAATCTTCGGTACTTAATTGATCTTATTGTGTTGCAAGTGCCATAAAACTGTTTCAAAAACTAAACTTTTTACATCGAAATAAAGTAATAAAGGTAAGAACACTTTAGTTTGTCTCATAGGGAAATACATGTTTAATTGTGTGAATCATTTTTGTCACATACTAAATTCCGCAACAGCTCTCATGTGACAATTCAAATAGAATTTAAAACAAATCTGATCATAGAAATCTGATATTCTGTGAAAACTATATCTTGTTTGAATTCAGACGCTCTCGTAAAGTATGTGGCTTTATTTATGTATTACTTTTTTTTACAGGTGGGATGACATGGCTGCCAAGCCCCCTGCAGGGGGGACAAACACTGTCTCGACAGAGACTGAAATTACGACCACTGAACTTCTCAAACGTCGAGAAGTGGGCGTTGATGGTCTGCGCTCAGAGTTTCTGGTCAGGAAGATAGTAGTGCCACTGGGTGTACCAGACAAGCCCAAAGGTAAGTTGTCTTGTGACTCTGACAGTTTTCATTTTTGTTACTTGGAGAGCAAACTTGGGTTTGAGCTGTTCTTACTCTGGCTAAACTTGTAACACTTTTGACTGGAGGTTAATAGAAGACTGTTCATCAATTTACTTATTTGTTCCCCGTAAAAACGATATGAATAAAAGGTTTTTGAAATATTATAAGCGTGCTATGTAGCTATGTCTTTCTTTTTCGAAGGGTTCTTTTCTTGGGGGGGGGGGTCCCAGCTTCTTTTAATACACTCTGCATTGTCTTTATGTATGGGTGGTTGGCCGGTGCTCTGGTTTGGTTTGCTGCCTCTTTCCCATCAAACATTTTTTTTTTGGTTGCGTTTGCTACTCTCTTGTTATGCCTTTTTAATCTGCACTTATATGAGGTAATTGTGTTGCAAGTGCTATAAAACTCTTTCTTCTAACACAAAACACCTCCCGGGGCAGTGCCACTGACTGTAGTGTCTTTGGGCCGTTCCCAAAAAGGGGACATTTCTCGTTCAAGCATAGTAGAATTGTAAATGGGCTGACTCGTGTCACGCTCATAACTGTGCCTGATCTTCAACAGGGAACTGCTGCTTTTTCTTTCCTGATCCTTACTATTGTCATTTTCTTTTACTTCTGTTATATGTTTGTCACTCTCTTGTGACATGCTATTTCTAGGGTGCCTTGATAGTCGAAGCAGACCTTGTGCTGTTGAAGCTAGAGAGGTGAGCAGTCTAAGTCTGATTCCCTGTAAAAACTTCTCTGTTGACACCCACCCCTTGGCACTCATATGACCTTATGCAGTTGCGCCGTAAAACCCTCTACTATAAAAAAAAAAGAATAACACAAAAATGTCTTTTTGCAGAAAAATACACACCCCAGCGCAGTGGGTTGCGAGAGAGAAAACGCATAGAGGCTGCGAGACAGACAGAGCCAAGTGTCACTGAGGTTTGGGTGCCGGAGGAGGTGCTAGAACTCTGGGAAATCAAGCAGTTTGGAGAAAAGTAAGTTGGAGAAAGGCTGTATTTCTTCAGACTGGTTGGATTACCACTCATTCGAATGTCTAGCTATTTTCCTGGAAAGTGCTAGAAAAGTTGACTGGATTCTTTCCTTTCAATACTGTGTGCCGTGTTATGGTCTATCCTACAATTTGTCCTTTTCTTTCTAGTAACATAAGGTGGCACATACAACCATTGGTCTTAGAGAGGATATGATTTTACATGTACTGGTTGCAACAGCCTTTTAAGCCCCTGCTGGAGATCAAGTACACCTTTTGTGTACTGGCTTCCTATGTAGTTCATAGAAATTCCAATGGCTGTTGTCTAGGGAAGCAAAGCCATAAGTGAAGGTAGGTTTTTACACAAACTCACTGCAACAGTGTAATGCTTTTTAGAAAATCTTACTAAAGATTTTGTTTACCCTTTGTGTACTGGTTTGCTCTATGGTTAATGGAAATTCCAATGTTTGCAGGCTGGAAAAGCAGCGACAAGCAGCCCAGCAGGAGAAAGCTGTGGAGAAAACGTCTGTGGTGACGGTCCAGACGACAGTGGGCTCCCAGCAGAGCGCAGCTCAGATCAAGGCTCAGATGGAGCAACAGCTCAAGCAGCAACGTCTGGCACTGGCCCAGAAGCGCATTCAGGAGAACCAGGGGATCCGCATCACCACGGGCAGCTCGGGCTCGGTGAACGGCGCCACGTCCACCACCAGCAGCAGCACCACCATCATCATCAACAACGGCAGCCAGCTGGGCAAGCCGGGCACCACCTTCAAGACTCTGACCGTGTCCTCCCCCAGCAGCCTGCTGTCTTCTGGCATCATCAAAACCATGCAGCCAAAAACCATCATTACCAATGCCAGTGAGTACACCTGAGATTGACAATATAGTTCATAATTTAAATCAGCGTCTATCTATCCTAATTTGCCTCTGGTGAGGACTTGCTGTGTTCTGCTGTTTGATCTGTCCCTGTCAGGCTGAGCACTCTACATGCTTTTTGTTATGGTAATTTTGAAGGTCAGCGGATTTGTTTTAATATGTTTGTATGCAGATAAGGAGGATGGTACCGTTGAGTGTCTTTTCATCTTTGAGGTAACAAAAATAAATTATCCTTGAAACTTTCTCTTTTTGTGTTCATCATTATTTAATTCACTTTTCACTTGAAAATGTTTCCCTTTTTTTTCTTGAAAAAGGCTCATTATTGGGCACCCAGTTACGCCCTGGGATCAGAGTTCAGATCCCCGGCTCGGCACTCCAGCTGCGACCACAAACAGTCACCCTGGCCCCAAAACCAGGGGTAACGACGTCTGGTGTGACTACTGCCACAAGACTCATCTCTCCAGCCACCAGCGTTGCTAGAGTCATATCGCCGTCCACAGCGCAGGGACAGACCACCAAAAGTAAGCTGAACCATCATATGAAACAAATGCATGGGTACTCACTGAAACTACAGGCACTACTTTATCCCTTTACGTCATTCTCTCTCATTATCATCAGCATACGTTGTCAAATTGTGTAAGAGCAGGGGAATAGCTGGAACTATTTGTCACACCAGTATTTTAAAAAAGATGCTTTATGAATATTTTTGACTGTCTATGCGCAGTATATTGATGGGAAAATGTTTCTTACTCTTCATTTGCCTCTGTCAGTAATCATGTTATGCGTTTTATATAACAGTAGACTGACATTGTTACATGAATCATTGTACAAAAAGGACAAAGATGTAAATTAAGAGAGATTATATTCTTTCTTGTCCTCGTTCACCCAAGAGATGAATAGCATTTGAGGATATTTTTAGAACTATGTTTCCTTGATTCATTTGATTGTAAGCTTATATCATGACTTTATTTTCACTTTCAGCTCAAACTATTCAAATCAAGCCTCAGTCATCTGGACAGCCAGTTCAGAATCTGCATTTTATCCAAACACCAAATGGCCAGCTGCAAGTGAGAGGGCTACTTCCAGGTAACAACAGTTTTATTCTTGTTCCTCCTAATTTTTGACGTTGACTAAAAATGAAAATTGACAGACAGTCCTGTAGAGACAAAAATTCTTAAAGAGCTCGCTCCAGTTGTTTATAAGGGAATCAGTTATAAGTAATTTATAATGTGTACCATGACAAAATTTAAAAAAAAAATGTCTAGTGCAATAATTGTCATTTGTGTTGGTGGCGGTTGCATTGTTTTTCAATTACATAAGTACTTTCTTTTGTCTTATGGTGTCATAACTGTGAAAGATGTTTCACAGTTTGTCTTTCTTTCTCCCATCGTTTTTCATTTGTGTTTGTCAATCAGTGTCTATGTTTTTTTCTTTTATTAGAAGAATAGAAATGGTTACAGAAAAAAGTCGTGAAAGGATTAACTGAAAATACTCATGATTGCTACCTTTGTTCTTATAGGCAGGAATGCTGTATATTTTTTTGTTATTTCCGTTTTTATCAGTAGAACTGTTGAAATTTCGCAACATGTATGTTGTCTCAACCCATATTAGATTTGTCCATTACACTGTCTGTTTGTTTGCAAATGCAAATTTGTAAATTTTCAGGTATTTTCTCAAAATCCCAGTGGCATCCCTTGGTAGACGTAGCAAGTATCTTAAGAAATGTTTGCTCTCTCGTCATTGGACATAATGGGCTACTTTTACCTATAGTTGTAGAATTTCTGAGGAGCAAAAGCTCTAAAAGGTCTTTACATCCTTTCAATGATTGGATTTAGGAGACAGAATTAGTTGGGGTGGGGGGGGAGGGTGTTGGTTATTTTCTGTAAAATAAGCTTTTCCAGGGTAACGCATCTAGTTCCCAACAATATCAATTTGTTACCATGATGTTTTATGACATTTTCTGTTTTCAAGGTCAAATCATCCAGCGCATGCCAGATGGAAAACTACAGATTATCACTCTGAGTAGCCAGGCTGCCTCTGTGAACTCATCGCCAGCCAGTGGTCAGCCATCCATCGCGAGCACTCCACAACAGCAGACGCCACGCCCAACCCTTAGCATCCGGCCGCAACAGACTATCATGGTGACAATCCCAGCGAACAGCGGCACAACTTCCACTCCAACCATCACCCAGAACCGGCTAGTCATCCCAGCCCAGCTGGCCTCCAGTGTTGGCCTCTCCCTGGGCCAGACCTCTGCCCCAACCACACTGACTGTACCGGCTGTGCGGCAAGTGCTGGGCAGCTCCGTGGTGACCACACCATCCAAGCAGATCATCATGACTCGGCCCGGCGGCCCTCAGGTCATCTCGGCCCAGAATCTGGCCACAGTGCTGGGAAGTCAGGCCAGTCAACTTCTTCCTCAGAGCTCTGGGACGCCTCTAGTCTCATCTCCGGCCGGGCTGAACAGTGCTGTGGTCATCAGTGCCCCCGGGGTGCTCGGTGCCGGAGCTCAGGCCATTAACGCCGCTTCCAATGTGAGTACGGTCTTGGTGAACACTTCACAGTCTGCGCTACTGTCCAGCTTGACCTCTCAGACCAACATGGGCGGCCCGCAGACCATCATTTCCACGCTGAAACCTCTAGGTGTGACGGCAACCAGCACCACCACCACCGTGACCACTTCCCTTGCCACAGCTCCGGCAGGCACCTCCCTGCTGGCCGGTCAAGTCATTCCTGGTACTTCTCTCCTCCAGCGGTCAGCGGGGGGCACATCTCTCCTCAACCTCAATGCTGCCTCTGGCTCAGGCGGGACACTCACCATCTCAGGCGCCTCAGCCACCGGTGCTCAGATCCCGAAAATTCTGGCTTCTCCTCCCGCGGGGGCACAGATCATAACCCGACCGGCGGGGAGCTCACAGCCACAGCTTGTCCTGCGACCGGGAACGTCGGTCATCACTGGTGCAGGTCAAGCAAAGGTCATCACTGCCCAGCAGCTGCGTGGACTCACAAACTCGCCCATACAGCTGAAGCCAGCGGCTGCATCATCCATGAGTCCTATCAAAAGCATCCTGTCCCCGCCCACCAACCTTCTTCCGGCTGTTAGCGGTGTGAAAGGCCTGACGGCCGTGCGTTCCTTAACCCCCCAGCTCACTGGACAAACCCCGCCCTCCTCCTCCACCCAGCAACCACAGATCATTTCCGCCACTGCCAAGCAGGTCTTGGTCACATCCACAACAGGCACCTCCCTGCTCCCACAAGCACTGACTTTGAGTACGTCACCAGAACCAGGCAGTACAGTGGCTTCTCTGGCTAGTCCCACAGCGGGTGCCAGTCCCAGTGCGGGGGCTGGGGCCCCAAAGTACGCCATCACTCCGCAGGTCGTAGAGCAAGGTATGAAAAGATTTGCTGCCATTTTCTCCTTTAAAAAAATTTCCTAGCTTTTTTTTTTTTCTGCCTGTGCTGGCAAGAGTTTCCTGCTCCTTTTATCCGTGCTAAATTTATTACTCCCTCTAATTTGAGGTAAGTACCTCGAAATAACTGTGAATGGGAATGTTTACATCAACACAATGTCAGTAATTTAAAAGGTGAAGTGTTTTGACTCTGCCTGTCAGGGACAGACTGAGCTGTTGGTAGATCCCAGTGGAAAAACAGAGATACTCTAAAATGTCTGCCCCCAGAGGAATCGAACACATCCTTTGACTGCAAGGTGAAATGCCAAAACATTGCAAATGTAAAAAAAAAAGCCCCCCCCCCCCAAATGGTTTATAAGATGTTTTAAATAGAAAAGCATGACTTCAATCACTCAAAAAAGTAGCTTTCTCTGTTGTCTTCCTCAAAATTTTGAGATATATTTTTCGGATCTGTTTTGTAATCTTTTTTTTTCTGTATTGGTTTGTGTAGTAGCTTACAGATTTGTAAAACATCTCTCTCTTTCTCAACTTCAGTGGTCCGTCAGGCATTGCTTCAGAATCAGACACCAGAAATTCAACAAAAGCTTCTAGCGATGCAGAAACAGATCCAGCAACAGCAGCAGAGCCAGCCCTCGGCATCTGCGACGTCGGTGGTGGCGCTGTCAGCAGGGGTCAGCTCAGCAAGACGCACCAACCAGAGCTCGGCGGTCACAACCCCTCCCACTCGCACAGTGGTCGGTACATCGGCGACATCTTCAGGGGGAGATCACTCCAGGTCTAAATCAAAGGGTTTGACCCAGGAACAGAAGGAGGAACAAAGCAGGTAAAAATATTTTTTAAAGAAATGTTTTAGTCTTCTGTTTTTGTTGTTTAAAGTTCAGAGGCATCAATTTAAGAAAAAAGACACAGGTACATGGTAGTCTGGGAAAAGCATGGAAATCTGAAGTTTTTGTTTAAGTGCCTTTTCATTAGTTCTGTTCTGTCACAATGTAGAGGGAATCGTGCTTGCTTCCTTGCGGTTAACTATTGCAGCCTATAAATATTTGTGCGGAATAAAGTGAAAGTGGGTCAATCAGAAAGAGAGTTGCTGGGAGCAGAGTGACTGCCAGGCCTCTGGAATTACCCGCGAATTTGAAAAAAATTCGCTGAGACGCGGGAAAATACATAAAAGATCTCGAATATTATTTGAAAACCAAATCCGATAACGTCTTTAAGTTCATTTTTTGCCGGTCGCGATTGTGATGTTAATTCGGCTTTTCCCGGTCTGAGAGTACGTTTCATTCGAACAGGCGGCAAGCGGAATTGTATGTGACACCGAGGCTCGACCGGAAAATCAAAGATCTCAGAAATTTGTCTGTAAAAGTCGGAATACGCAACATTTGTAACATGCAGGTTCTGCATTACAAACGTGGTGTCGCCATGAAAATAATGTTCGTCACTGTGCTGTCGCTTGTGGGGTGGGGGGGGGGGGGAGAAAAAGAAAAAGTTATACAAGCATCTTGTCGGGCTCGTCATTGTGACCGGTCAATGAACCTGTGCGCATTCTGAGCGCTGTGAAGTACAGGACTCCGGAATGGGGGGAAGATTATTGATTTGTTAAAAAAGATACACTCGGAGTTGGGGGGAGGGCTGGACGCAACACCAGATGACAAAAAAAGAAAAGGAAATGGAAGCAAATTTTAATATTTAGAATTTTGATTACTACTACAGCTCTCTACAAAGTAAAGTGCGCGTTTGTACATGCCTTGTGTATAATCGGGATCCGTCATAACTACTTGTAAGCGTGTTAATGAACTTAGGGCAGGGGCCTCAGTGTTCGCGTTTCATTGGAAGGGTGACAGTAAATTATGTCTCTATATTTTAGTTTTTTGTTCCAGTTTCGCAGATTTTCAGTGTCACTGTATCTTGCCCTCCCACAGTTCCTACACCCCTCACACTGAACTGGTTTACTTGAGCTATTCAAGTTATTACATGTACTCTACTTTGAGTTTGAGCTTTGATTTTGTCTTTCACGTATATTATATGAATCATTACACCCAGACTGGTTCATGACAGTCGATATTCTGTTTCTAGGCCTTTTCCCAGGCTCAAAACAAGATTTATTTTTATAGTTTATAAAGGCGAATATGATGAAGGTAAAATATAAATAAGTCGTACAAGACCACAGTGCGCCTCCACTTTCTGTACGTAATCAAGATTGTAAATATTTGGTAAGTGACTCTAACTTGAAATTATCTTCTAAACCCTCAAACTGGTATGAAATAACCTTCCTTTGATAAATTGATGGTTTTTATTTCAACATTCTAGGGCCCAACAGTATAATAATAGTGGGTGTCTCGCGAAAATGGGCTTCTGTCGCGGTCACGCGGAGAGTTCCTCCTTTTTAAAAATTCCGAGTTGAGACCCATGTACTATACGTCATTTTTTGTTTCATGCAATGAATTTTAGGGGCTTGAAAGTAATTTCTCTTCTTTCAATAATTCTGTTCTCTCCACAATGCTTTTTTTTTTTCAGAGTAAGTGTTTGCGGCCAGGTGATGAAGACTATACTGGACAGGATAGAGAGAGAGGAGAAGCAGGAGCAGAGAAATAAGAAGAAACAAGAGTCTGCAGAGGAGAAACAGAAGAGAATCACAGCCCTGAATCAGCAGAAGGCCTTGTACAAGCACAAAGAGGGGCTGAAGAAAGAGATCCACAGAAAGAGATCTTTGATGGAGAAGAATCTACAACAAGAAATATATGTGAGTATTTTTATGTAGTGTACTTGTTAACTGATGAGATCTCCACATATTTTCGACAAAATGTAAGCCATATTGCTTTTTTTACAAACTGAGACTGATCTTTATCAAACAATATTGATTTTTTTTTAGTAGCTTTGAGTCTGATAAAAATGGTGTTACTGATACCGGTACTCATAAAACGTTGGTTAAAATGATAACAAAACAATAACAAGAGTGGGTGATTTTGGTAAAACTGTGTCAGCAAGTCAAATACACCAATGTAATTCTTTCACAGTGTGTATTTTAGTCTGAATATCTGCATCTTAATTTTGTTCAGCTTCCAAAACTAATGTTAACTGTATGCTTCAAATTCACCACATAGGGTGAACTTAAATGTATTATTTTATATTTGAGAAACATTGATGCATTATTATATGACATTAAGGACAGGAAGGGACCGCCAGCATACTTTCATCCACTACACTTGATTAGCAGGCAGAGGATATGTTGTGGTTTGTCGAAGAAGGTCAACCACTTTTGTTGCGGTTTGTCAAATAAAGTGTCACTTACTGCTGTTCTTTAAAGAGGCAAAATCACATTTTGTGGAAACAAAAGTTGATTCTGGAATGTGCCTTGCAGTTTTAAAGTAGGACGGTATTAGTTACAGCCAAACTTCGAAAATGGTGTTTATGGCGTTTTGTGGTCAAACTGTTCATACTATTATTTCATTGTGTTTCATGGAATTTTTTATTTAACTCTTTATTTTGCATGTGTTTTTATCCTATTCTTATAGTTTCTCTTCTGAAATGTCTTGGTGGTCCCAACAACAATTGCATTGCTTGTTGAAACGTTTGAATTTTATCCTTGTAAAATGCATTTCTATATTCACCCCCCCCCCCCCCCTCCCATTTTTTAAAATATTCAGAATGAAATGGCAGAGAAGCTTAAAAAGGCCAAAATCAGTGTCAGCAACACCTCCAAGTCTCCTCAAGGCTCTGCAGCAGCGACAACAGTGGTCGCCTCGTCGGTCGTGACCCCAGTGTCTGTCATGACAGGTGCAGGGAAAGTGGCTAAGAAACTGGCGGACACTCCAAAAGCTCCACCCATGTCTTCAGAGGCTAAGTCTGCTGGTCGCAAGAGGAAGCAGAAGATTATCTCTACAGGCGTGAAAGGCTTGAATCCCAAAGAAAAGCTCTACTGCGTCTGCAAGACACCATATGACGACAGCAAGTAAGTATTCGCTTTGTTTTCCTTCTGATTTCCAGTGCAGAGTTTGGACTTAAGTCTTTGTGGACGTAGCGCACACATTTGTCCGATCAGCAGCAGATCAAAGACAACATTGCCGCTCATTTCAAACCATCAAATACAAATTGGAAACAAAAATCTGTATATTTCAATGCATGCGTGTTGTTGTTTGATTGTTAAAGTTTCAGATAAAGAAAACAGACTGAAAATTTTGCATGAATAGAGAAGTTGCACTTCAAGACAGCACGTCTTAAGGGTGTTACTGGATGACGAGAATGCACATCCTCACAGAGTCAAACAAAATGTTTTGCTGTTAGTATTGGAAAAATATGTACACACAAATGTAGCTCAGAGTTTTTGTGTGTATTGTGTGAAAGTGAGGTGAAAAATGTATGGTGTCTGGCCAGTTTAGTGGGTTATTAGCAACCAAAGATATTTGAGCCTTGTTATTTTAATGGAACCAGTGATATAGTTTGCAACTAGGCAGTTGAGAGCCGCACTTTTGAAATATTACGAGATGGCGTTTGGCATTTAATCTTATTTTTAAAATGACAATAAAATTTGTTGTTTCCACCAAGTTTTTCATTAGATGGCCGGAGGGGTGTACGGATATATAGTTTTCTTTTGGCTCTCAACATTATTTAATTTCTTTTCAGATTCTACATTGGCTGTGATTTGTGTTCTAATTGGTTCCACGGGGCTTGTGTGAATATCAGTGAGAGTCAAGCGAACTACATTGACTCCTACATCTGTGAGGATTGTCGCAAGCAGCAGGAAAACACTTCAGAGGAACTCTACTGCCTGTGTCGCACTCCCTATGATGAGAACCAGTACGTGAAATTGATAGATCAGGGGGTCTTTGCTGCAGTTGTAAATTCCAATGATAGCAAAGCTTGTGATGTGTGCCCAGTATAATCACTTAGATTTAATATAGATAGAACTTCAGTGTTTATGGAAGAGTGTTATTTGGAATTAGATTTGGTGGACAATTGATTCACTTCGGTATTGTTTGTTAGTGATAGAGATAAAGGGATTTATGTTAGAATCTCTTTCTGTCTTTTATTAAGATTCTAGAACTTGTTTCAGGCTGTTTTAAGAGCTAGTGTCGGTATGTTGTTCAATATATTATTTCAAGCGAAGCTACTTAGCATACTGATAAATATTTTAATTTGTTTTAATGAGTGTGATCAAGTATGGCCATATTCACTTGAATTCTAATACCATTTTTACTCAAATACATGAGGTCAGCTGTATAGTTCTTGTTCACTTTTCAAGTAATGAAGGTGCATGTAATATTATATGAGTCCAGTTTGACATTTTGTTTACTTTGAATGCTGTGAAATTCCACGTTTTTGCTACAAATTTACTGTTTTTCACTGTTCTTGAAGACCTCATAGTTAATGCTCAGGTGTATTTTGTCCTGCCGGTGGTATTCTGTTTCAATAAAAACCTTTCTTCCTGCAGGTTCTACATCGGCTGTGACCGTTGCCAGGACTGGTTCCATGGCTACTGTGTGGGCATCTCCAAGGCAGAAGCAGACAACATTGAAGTGTACGTGTGCCCTAACTGCCAGAAGGAAGAGTCTGCTGACCCCATAGCACAGAAGCCCCTGACTCAATCAGAATACCAGCACCTCACCAAATTGCTCAAAGATTTACAGGTAATTCAAGATAGTTTGTGTAAGAAGCATCTTGGAGTTAAAATGTTGTCTGGATCAGTAGCAACGTTTAAATGTTGTATGCGATCAACTGCTCAAACTGAAAATTAGAAGAATAGATCCCTGTGTACATTGTACAGAAGTCAGAAAAGCGTAAAAATTGACTGTTTGAAAATCGAGGGTGCTGCCAAGCTTTCATAATGGGCTTTTGAGAATTGATATTGATATTACACATATATAGTGCATTTCCTGAAAAAAAAGTTTATGTTGAATAGGGGATGGAAGGAAATTGTAAAATTTCTTAAATATTCAAATTTCAGTACAAATGTTCATGCACACTTCCCATGTAGTGGGGTGTGTGCTATGATCATGTCTCAATATAAAACCTATGAAATCATATTTTCAACTGCTTTCAGTTCACACTAATTTGAATCTTCTTCCCTCACTAGGTACATAAGATGGCCTGGCCGTTCCTACAGCCAGTTGACCCAAGAGAAGTGCCAGACTATTATGATATTGTCGCTGAGCCCATGGGTAAGTTTTTGGCCAGGTAAATTGTTTGAGATGGGTCATATCCCAACAACTGTCAATGCACTTACTTGTGCTGCCAGGTGGCTTTTGTCTATTTTCATACAGCCCAGAAAAGTTTGCAAACAGTGCTGTGGGGACTTTGACCTTTCATGGCCTTTTTCTTTTTATTAAAAATAGCACCAAGAGACACCAAAGCCAGTTTTGGGGGAATAAATGTCCACCTGACTTAATTATAAATAGTATCGTATTTATTCTTCTGTTACAAGAATGTATACTTCATATCGTCTCGAATTATAAATTTTTACCGATTTTTTACATGTGGGACGAAATCTAGCTCAGTTTTGTAAGCAAAAATATAAGTGTCACTTGTCAAGATTTTGTGCCTTTTCCAGCTGTTGAATGTAACCAAAAACAGTCTTTTAAAAAACCCTGAATGGTGTGAATATAATGGACAAGACCAGTGCAAAAAGAGTGAGGTGCCACTCAGGGTTAAGGTCTGTTTTGGATTTTTTTAAATATTTTCTCTCATTCTGACTGCATTTGAAGTGCAGTTTAGTTCATGTTATCTTCTTTATTTGCAATTTCAGATTTGACCATAGTTGAAGCGAAACTAGAAGCCAAAGCTTATCACAAGCTCAATGACTTTGTGAAAGATGTGACCCGGATCTTTGACAACTGTCGCCTGTACAATCCGGTGGACACGCCATACTTCCAGTGTGCTGAGGTGGTAGAGACCTATTTTGCACAGAAGGTCAAGGCCTTGCGCAGCGCTAACAAATTATGATCAGGATGCGTGTTGTCATCTGCCCAGACGCCAGAATACTCTGATGTTCTGTGGCCATCAGTTACTGGATCGTCAAACAAAGCGGTGTTACTGTTATGTCAAATGATTCATTTTGTGTAAATACATGTCTATTAATGACTGAATCAAAAAAGATGTAAGTATGATGCACCCCTTTGACTCCATATTCTCGTCTGACCAGTTGACAGTGGGCATAATGTGAAATTTTCATATTTAACAGAAATATATCCCATGCAATTCACATACTTCAAAGTCTTTGTCAGAGATGGCATTGCATTATTTTTAATGTATCAACAAGAATGTTTTGTTGTTTAAAATAACATTTGTAAGTATATGTAATGCTGATAGCCATAAATTATGCTTTTCCATTCACATTGTTGTTCTCACCAAGCCAGTTGCATGTGAATCAGTAAAGCAGATTTTCCTGACTCTCTAATGCATAGAGCATTTATTCAATTTAACATTATGCCCATGAAAAATGCCAATTAAACCTGTGGATAGATGGAAGTAGTGGCACTTTTGATTGACTGAAAGGAAAGATGATGGATGGAATGCAGATATAGTTAGCTCTGATTGAAATGGGCAGCAGTTTTACAGTATTCTCCACATGCTGGGAAGTACAGGTGTCCGTGTCTCGTGGAAGTGCCCGCCAACGCGGAGGTTGGTAGATTCGCGGGCTCCCGCGGAGACATTGGCTATGTGTCTTGTACAGCTGTTTATAGAAGATTGTCATGGTTTTTTTTTATTTATAAGTCTACTTATGCATTTGACCCAGTGTGAATATAAGATAAATTTAATATGTCCATTGATTGTATTACATCCGTGACGAGTTAATGAAATTGTAATTTTGAACAAGTGTATGCAAATTTCATCTAAAGCACCAGCAAGAATTTTGATAGGGTGTTTTTGATCTCCGTTCGAGTTGTGTATTGTTGCATAGAACTTTGCAAGACCTCGTGTGTTTGTCTGATAGATAGTGTATTTTGTATACTCTGGGTTACTGAAATTTGTTGAATGGTAATGACAGCACAGTGTGTGTTATTTCCTCTGCTGTGTGGCTGTTTCCCCTTTCCTCCTTCTTTGTTCTTTTCCCCGTCTGGCGTTGGTATTGAATTTTACAGGGTGAGATGAAAAATAGCTGGTGTGGTAGCTGGATGTATTGTGCTGTTTTTCTAGTATATTGAAGCCTTGTCTGAAATATATAAATCTGTCGTTTGTTCAGAGGAGGATGTGCGGATCGTTGAAGTCTATGTGTTTTTTGTCTGTCGGGGACTTTCTAGTCTTGTAATGTGTGAGAGGTACCTTCAGAGTTTAATTTTCTATTTATCAATAGTTATCACCGGTGATGATATCCTCTCTATAATAGTATCGTATGACTGCTGTTGATGTTGTTTATGGTATTTATGTGTTGGATTTTTAGTTTTTGGCAAAATTTTCATCTTGTTTTATTACATACACAAATCTCATTAATGAAAATGACTTGGATCTGTCCTTTGTAATTTACCTTGTCTCTGAGTGTCTGTTCTTCTTGAGATGTTTGGCCAGTTCATAAATAATTTCTAATCACAGTCTCCTTTTTCGGTAGTGAGAGGAGGTGAAGTGGATGGGAATGGCGTGTTATTTATAGCTTCTTATGTGTATGTAGCTCCAGGCTGCATAGTTGCCTCTTGTAACAGGACACTGCCATAGATTGTGTTCCCAGGTTGCTCACTGTGTTGAGATGTTGTACATGGAAAGCTAAAACTTGCGTAGGGGTGTGAAATATGTAAATGGCTCTGGAGTAGAAGTGAGTTAGCTAGAATGTGATGCATAAATCCATTGCATGCTCAACAAGTGGTAGTTTAAGGTCCAACATGACTTTTGATTCATGGTTGCATGGATTTGGTGCCAAAGCATTGATTTTTTAATTTGTTTATGTCTAGATGGAAACATATGTCTTTGGGGGGGGGGGGGGGGGGGGGGGGAAGGATTTTTAAAAAAGCTTTGAACAAGCTGAGAGTCTTCAATTTTTTAAATGTTAAGACTAGATTATTCCTTGGTGTTGGCACAAAACAACCTTCAAGCCATACAGGGGGGGGGGGGGGGGTGTTAGATTTTCTCAAAATGTTAAATTTTTAGGAGACTGAGTTAAATTAATGATGATTTCTCTGAATCTGCCCTTTTATTCTTTTTGAAATTTTGCATGCTTGGTTGAGTGTTTGGTGCTCTTAATTTCAGAGGGATTTACGGTAGAAAACGGTTGTTCTTGTGATGTTGTTAACACAAATGTTGTTTTTTGGGTTGTTTTGTTTTAAGGGAAGATATTTTTTTCGGCTACAATTTCTTCCACTCATGTAAGTGTTAAATTTTTCTTCAATTAAAAACTCAAAATTCTCTTTGTGGTTAGTTAGTAGGCTATATGTTGTTGGTTATACTCAGAACAATACCCAAAATTTGCAAATGACAAGTGAGTGGTATGAAACACATGATTACATCAATTTGTGGGCCCGGCACCCATATGGGATTGAATGTTCGAAGAGTCCGTCAGAATATCATGGTTAACCAGTTTTATCGCCGGGAAATCATTCAAAGCTATAATTCAGCGGTTACAACAACAAAAAATGGTGGTCCTAGTAGTGTGTTTCTTTAGTCCATTTTGTTCCCAGGTGGTGAGTTGTGTCTGTGCCCCCAGTGTCGAATTGGAAGAGGCTTTCCCTTCTTTCTTATTAAGTTCATTGCAATGTTTTGCTCCTACAGTTGTTGGGGGATGTCAGAAACGCAGTTGTCAGCAATCTGACACTGTATGTGGCAATGGCAAATTCTCAGGGAAAAAGTTTGAGTACAGATTAATGTGTAGCTCTAGTTTTTGCCTGTTTTCACTCAGTGCTATTGTTTGGTCGAAGGAGAAAAATGTCTCTGGCTGGTGGCGCTTTGTTTGTTCATTTCAAAGATGCAAGTCCTTTGTTAGCTCAGAGTTCTGTTGTATATTTCTTGAAAGTCCCATTGTGCATTCTGAAAGTTTACTCATGACTCGGTTTGTTGTACATATAGCGTGAAATGATTTAGCTGCTCTTTTTCTTCCTACTATAGTGCAAATGTTTACATGACATTATAATGCTTGTTCTTGGGAGTCATGTAGCTGGATTGTGGACACTGTTGTGTAATCTGTTCCTTCTTCTCCTTCTTTTCATTGCTACTGTTATCTAATGTTTTCCTGTCTAAATGGAACCACTCAAGTTCCCACTCTCTGTAGGCTAGAACTCAACCCTCAGAATGAAGGAAATGTTTAATTTTATTGCATGTTCAGATGTTTAAACTTAAACTGTTGGAGATACACATCAAGGGATAGATTCAGCTTAAAATTTTAGAAATATAATTCTCTAAGTTTCCTGTTGTGTAGCTGATGTGAATGCTGTATTTATAGGAAAAACTAAGGAATTGGAGACAAAATCACTTTCCAAGATCAGATGCATTTTCTAAATCTTTTGCCTGCACGTGCTAGTTATTACAGTACCTGAATTTTCAAAATATTTAATTTTGGGAGGGGGGTTCGAGGTGATAATCCTTGAACTTTTTTCTTAAAAGAGACAGTAAGAAACGTAAAACAATTTTTCTGTCTGCTTTAATATAATAATAGATAATAAATAGCACTTGTATAGCGCATACCCACCCTCAACAGCAAGCTCTATGCGCTTTACACTATATTGTTACCCCGGCAGAAATTTTTTTGATTTGTTGACTCTTGTTTTGACATGAGACTTTGATCCTAAACTGAATCCCCCCATAGCTCAACTCCCATCAGTGATTTTTTTTCCCCCTGGTTTTCCAAGGCCACCACATGTAAGCAATAGGTAGACAGAAGAAAAACCTCGTTCTGTCTAAAATATGATTAGCTCAGAGAGATAGTGAAGGTAATGAGAAAATGTACTGTTGAAGAATGTAGTGTTTATTTTATTTACTTTTACAAGAGGAGTCATGCGTGTCCCTTCAGGTCTTCACGGGTGGTTGGTGGGTGAATTTGTGTAGAGTGGTCCTACTTCTCACCAGTGTCACTCCTGTGGTAATCTATGCCTGGTGAGATGTGGCTGTTGTGCTGGCCCTTGGCATACTACAACTCAACAGCCACAACACAAGTTTCTTTTCTTTTTTTGTGTGTGTCCTTTGCTGAGCGTCCTTGAGTCAATAGTGCGAATGTGATGTGCCTCACTGTTATTAATTAAGGCATTTGTACAGGACTATGACTTGTCTTTTAGCTTTGTAAAGTTCCTGTTTTACCATTTCCTTTTGTTTATATGTGTCGATCGGTTTGGTTTGGTCATGTACATAATATGCAAATTTTGCTGTACAGCTAGTTATTTATGTCATCAGTGTATCATGACTGGAGTGTGTAATACTCTTTATTTATACATGGAGTTGTGTGGATGTTTGTCAGTATCCGTCTCTGTATATTGCTTTCTTCTTCTTGATGCAAAAGGACAGTTGGAGAAGTAGATATAATGCTTCATTTACTCCTAAAACCAGAGTTTGAAAACTTATTTTTTAAGGAGGTGTTGATATCGTTTAAGTTTTGCTGCTGTTGATAATTCTAGCGTGATTGCCTGGAGCACTTTGTGGAAGACCACTACGCAAGTTCCAGTAAATTTGTCTTTAGAAAGAAAGCAGTGTACAAAAAGAAGGCATACCTTCTTTTCCGCATAATACTGCAACAGCGGCACTGCTTCTATGATTTGTGTACATTCATTTGTAAATACTTTTTTTTGGTCTTTTTTTTTTCCTTTATTAATCATGTCATTAGCTAGGAAATGGAATTGCTTTTGTTGTGTTGTGGTATTCTTTGCTTTTCTCTACATTTTCTCTTGCTGTTCTGTCAGTCCTTTTGTAGCTTGCATTTTTGTCCTCCTTTCAAGTGTGGCCTTCATGTTTAGGATTATATTATTATCTTCGGGACAGGTTCATTGCTAAAGCTTGGAAATCCTTGAGCATTGCTTGTTGCTATAATCTAATGGATTCCCCCAACTTGTTTGTGTGTTAGGTCTCATGTTCAGTTCTCAGTGATGTTTGCAGAATGTTACAATCTTCCATCTCTTCACACAACCACTAGGTCACTGGATTCTTTTAATGGTAGGGTCCTGTTACTGTCTTCTGCCAGAAGTGAGTAATGTTAACCAAATGGCTCTTCTCATCCTGTATTTGTTCAGTCTTTTTCCTGTCTGTCCCAAGATTACATGTATCATGTGTAAATAAATAAACACAAATTTTTGTAGCTTTATGTCGTCATTGTTTTGAGTTCTTTTTGTGTAGCTGGTGGCCCGAAGACACTTTCAAGTCTGGTCTGCTCCTTCTACTTCTTTCCACCTTTGCTATTGTCTTAAACTTTCTTTGTCACACACACACACACACACACACACACACACACACACACACACACACACACATGTTCCAATAAAAGAGCTGCACAAAAAGTAACGGATTTTCCCCAACGTCACACGGCGAGGCGGTGAACACATGCCTAGTTCCACATGAACCTGTCGTGGATAAAACGAGACAGATGCCCACACACACGTTCATTGGCGCTCTCGATAGCTCTCTCTGTACATTGTATTTATCTCTCTCTCTCTCTCTCTCTCTCTCTCTCTCTCTCTCTCTCTCTCTCTCTCTCTCTCTCTCTCTCTCTCTCTCCCCCCCTTTTTTTTCCTCACACACCCTCTTCCCATTTCCTTCTTCCTACATTCTTTCCTTTATGCGTCTTTTCTGCCTGCGTGGATGACTTTCTCCCGCACTTATATGACCTTATTGTGCTGCTAGTGCCGTAAAACTCTTACTAAAACT